AGTGTATGTGTGTGTGTCACCATGAGGATCTGGATGTGTTTGCTAGGATGGTTTCTGTTGGATTGAATGAAATTTGGAGTGCAAGGTCAGAGGAATCACATTCCAAAGGTATGGCTTCATCTGGCAACCCTTCCGAAATGTGTTTGTTTGGGAAAATTGTTCTTACAAATCATGCATGCACTTCCCCTATCTAATAATGACATGTGGGTTTGGTGGTGCACGCTAATCCAATAGTTTATGAAGCTCCACTTTGATTAGATTTTTTTTATGGATTGTAGTATGTGTATAAATATTCGTGCTGAAAAATAAGTCATGTGCGTGTAATCAAGTGTTATTCCATCTCTCTTGAAGGCTGACTGGTTTGGCTGCAGATGTGAGAGGTTACAGTGGCTTCGGTTTATATGAGGGAAATCGTTTTCACTATTCTGGTTCGACCCAGATTACCACAAACGCTGGGTTCATGTCCAGTGTCAGGGTGCAGTTTTTTACTATATTTGACATTTATTGGTTGTGCAGTATTTTATAATTTTGTAGCTGATTTTTTGCATTTCTCTTGTTTTTTTTTTGTGATGCTTATTTTAGTACACTGTATGATAGCCACTGTTCTTTATAGGATTTTTTTTTTATATTATTATAATGCACAGAGCTAAATTGAATTCCCAGCCTGACATTGTATTTAAAAACCCTCGGTGGCAGAAAAACAACTGTGGCAACAGTTTTATGACAAGACCAAAATAACATAATGGATGAGACTGAGAATTAATTCAGTTATCTCTGCAGATGTGATTGGTGTTTTCTTACGTAATTTTGTTTTTTGTGTCTAACCATCTTTATTAAATTTGTTCAGTTTAAATGTATTAATCTAGGACATCAATCTATGAAAAACGTTTTGCAGGAAGCTGTATTTAAATCAGTTTAAGTGCAAGATATGGCTAGTTTGTCGTTGCCCATATAAATACCTGTGTCTCTGTGATAGATTTACAGATAGTCGCTGTCTTTCAAGTCAAATCAGCTTTTTTCATACCGACTTATGTGTGTGCGTAATTGTGTGTATGTACTCGACCACTTTTTTTTAGACTTTCCACTTGCATACAGTATTTACAGACCAAGACAGTACCTTTCAGAAATTAGGTATGATAATAGGCAAGTTTTTTTTACAAGTTTACATTTTAGTACTGGTGGTGGTTAGCTGGCATGTAGACGCGTGTGTAAATAATGTATCTGAAGCCTAGAGGCATAACACTTTTGTTTTTTTAGGAAACCTTTACCTCTCCCATAGATCTGTCATCTGGCCCTTTTCACTGTTCTGTCTAAACTGTGTTCAGTCTTTTCTGTAACAGACCTTAAATAACAGCAAGATTGTACATCATGTGCACATCACAGCGACAAATCTGGGAACATTAATTTTTGAAGTGATCATTGATCTGAATTATACATAATAGTCAAACTGATATTTATAGATTGCCTAATCTTGTCACAAAAAAGCAAAAGAAAGATTTTTTTCTTTGCTTTTGATCAGGTTTGGCCTTTTTTCCAAAATTACAAAAGAACAAACAAAAGCATCTGGTCACTAATTAAGGACAAACCCCTGCAGCAGTGGTGTTACAGATATTTTCATGTTGGTCCTTGTAACAGGAAGCCACCTGGTGGCCAAATGGTGTTATAGCTAGAGCTGGGGTGGAAGCTGCTCTTTGCTGGGTGACTGCGCACTTAATGTGAGTCCATGTGTTCAGACCCTCTTTGGCAGGCTATTAGACGGATATCAGACCAACAGCAGGAAGATAAACTGGACGACAGCCCTTCGTTGCCAGGTGGAGATCAAGTGTCAGTTTATCAGGCCATGGCTACAGAAAGAGCCATTGTTAGTGATGGTATTAGGGCAAGGGGGTCTGATTTTACCCAGGTTTTCTTTGTATGAAGGTTTTTCCATCTGATTTTTTCAGGCTGTGGTCTGATGCCATAACATTATATTACAGTATATATATGATATTATAATAATGTATATTTCTACACACCACACACACACACATACACATTTGTTTATTTATATTTAAAAATGTATTTTTCCCCCCCTGGAAGTCATGAAATAGACCAACCTGGCAACCCAAAGCAGTATAGTAATAATTGTGCAGAATAGCTTAATGTATAAATTTCCATGACTCTAAAGTCTCTTATTTTTAGTTTATGTACTTGTAAACCTTGCAGATGTCATCAAGAGAACTGAAGCACTCGTATTGTCCGACAGAAGTCACATTACTGAAACGCCTAGCTTAGACTTCATGCAAATAGGGAAACTAGACAGAATCACATCAGATTTTAAAAAGAGACACATGTTTCAGTTTTGTATGATGTCATTTTGATATGCAGCAACAATCCTCTGCCTTTGACACTATGATGTGGATGTTTTATCACAGAGAAAAGGCTGTTTTTCATTTCCCTTCTCATCATTCAGAACCAAGCCAGATCATATGGAATCCAGACCACTATTCTTTGTCATTATTTTTTGTCTCAAAATGTACCCTGTGTGCGTGTGTGCATGCGTGCGTGACATTGGTTTGCATATTATTAGCATGAGTGTTTTGTGTCACTGTTTTGACTCTTTAACTTTAGCTTTGTTTGGAGTGGTACAAATGTGTGAGCCATGCATGTAACTCATGCACATCTGATCTTTACATGATGTCAGATCTCAGTAGATCATTGTTGATTGCTACAAGATGCTTAGTTTAAATTATTGTTGTTTTTCTGCCTGGAATTATTGCACTCTTGTATTTACCTTAACATCTGTTAGCAGCAGCAACTTCACAACCATATGTAAAAATGGAGATTAAAGCTTTAATCAAGTCGCATAAACATTCTCACGGTAAATTAGACATTATGATGAAGTGATTACATCTTCACTAAACATATTATAGTGAACATAAAGCTCCCAGATGTAAAAGAAAAATAACAAACAGAATTGAATAATAGCTTCCAATCAATTTTTGGTACACATGAAGTAATTTCTTTTTGTTAATAGGGTCTCCATAGACGTGGGATTATACGTGGAGACGGTACTCTGCCTACTGGATCCAAACGTCCTGGCCTTGTGGGGCGAGGTGATGTGTTTGAGGTGGATGAGGATACAGACCTGGTAGACCAAAACATCTTATCCAAAAATGGTGGTACACCTTCCAAAACATTCCCAACTGACACAACAAGCAGCCGTGATGGAAAACCAGAATCTAAACGTCTAGATGAAAACATCACCACTGACAAGCACAAACCTGGCAAAACTTCACCAAAGAAACCAGTGGATACCATAATCATCAACCTGGATGTTCAGATACCCGAGAAACCTACCGGAAGTATTGTACCTAGTAGTGAAACTGAACTGGAAACCACCTCCAGTCCTGAGGATCGAGAATCCAACTTGTTAAAAGAGGATTTGGGGGTCACCACACAGGCTCCTGTGAGAAAAACTTCTTGGGAGGGCATCTCAAAGGGAAGTGGAAGAAAAACATTAAAAACTCCAGATATCCCTATAGGACCTGGCTGGGGATCTGAGGAGCACCCAGGAACCGTTATATTTACAGAAAGGCATGGAGATCTTGTGCGTGGCTCTGATGGGAATATGTATCGCATTCAAAGAGGACCCATGGGGCCAGTGGGGCCCCAAGGTGAGCCTGTGAGTATGATTTAAGTATATATCAGTGTTGTTATTGTTAATTATTAACTAAAACTAAATCTAATAAAAAGATCATTTTTGGTAATTGCAAACTTTTCCACGACATTCTAATTTACTGAGATGCACCTGTATATTTCAGCTTTTTTAAGCTGCACAGCATACTGCATATGTCAACATGTCTCACTTCCCGCCTTGGCATGATTCATACGGCTCTCTATAATTGGCTGTTGGAGGAACGACCCGTCTGCCTCACCCAATCAAAATGCAACATTCACCTGACTTTACAAGTGATCAGGTCTAACAGAAGTAAACCCAGATGTGGTGCCATCTGGAGGCTTCTGGCTGAGCTCCAGTGGCCCAGGCACTGTAAAAGGCCTCCATTAGATAATGAAGGGTTGCTTTATACCAGTTGGCTGAAAACATTAAGGAGATACTGCTCTGTCTGAAAGCAAAATGCAGTAGAGATGCAGTTATTAATGCCCCCTTTTTTCACATCTCTGTTACTACCATACTAGGGCTGCATTTTGTTAAATGTGAGCCAAAATCATCACAATTAAAAGAACCAAAGACTTAAACTACTTCAGTCTGTGTGCATTGAATTTATTTAGTACACGAGTTTCACAATTTGAGTTGAATTACTGAAATAAATTAACTTTTCCACGACATTCTAATTTACTGAGATGCACCTGTATATTTCAGCTTTTTTAAGCTGCACAGCATACTGCATATGTCAACATGTCTCACTTCCCGCCTTGGCATGATTCATACGGCTCTCTATAATTGGCTGTTGGAGGAACGACCCGTCTGCCTCACCCAATCAAAATGCAACATTCACCTGACTTTACAAGTGATCAGGTCTAACAGAAGTAAACCCAGATGTGGTGCCATCTGGAGGCTTCTGGCTGAGCTCCAGTGGCCCAGGCACTGTAAAAGGCCTCCATTAGATAATGAAGGGTTGCTTTATACCAGTTGGCTGAAAACATTAAGGAGATACTGCTCTGTCTGAAAGCAAAATGCAGTAGAGATGCAGTTATTAATGCCCCCTTTTTTCACATCTCTGTTACTACCATACTCTGCATTTCTGTCTTGGTGGGGGTCAAGCATTTAGTCATATGTTGAATAAGGAACTGACTTTATCATTCCAGGGCGTTAAAGCCTGTTCTGTTTAAAACTAAGCATTTATATGTGTTTATATACCACTTAAGTGTGAAGTGAAGTGACATGTGGCCAAGTATGGTTACCCATACTTGGAATTAGTGCTCTGCATTTAACCCATCCAAAGTGAACACACACCCAGAGCAGTGGGCAGCCATTTATGCTGCGGTGCCCGGGGAGCAGTTGGGGGTTCGGTGCCTTGCTCAAGGGCACCTCAATCGTGGTATTGAAGGTGGGAAAGATTGCTGTACATTCACTCCCCTCACCTACAATCCCTGCCGGTACGAGACTCGAACCCGCAACCTTTGGGTTACGAGTCCAACTCTCTCACCATTAGACTTCCCGTCTTAAGTCTTAAGTCTTAAGTCTAAAATATTGTACTGTGGTGCAGTGTTGTTATTGTTACCTAAAACATTTTTTTTTAAGCTAGATCAATTGTTTGGCTCAGATGACAAAAAGCTTGTCACAAACTGTTCAGTGCCATTTAGTGATTTTTTTTTAGTATTTTTACTCTGTGTGAATGGTTTTGTTGCAAAAAAAACGTGCAAACCAGGTGTCCTCCTGCTTTTAGAATAGTTTTGTGATGGTTGAAAGGTTATGTTTAGGTTCAACAATGTGCTTGTATTACCGTATTTAGAGTTCCACTAAAGTTAATGTTTTTACACCTTATTGCTTATTTACATCTTTTTACGTGCTATAAACCTTTAGTTTTAACACTGTTAAACAAGCTCACTTTCTGTTAAAAATGAAAGCTGTATGTTTTATTTTGGTCACGCTCTGTGACTTTGTATGTTTAAGGTTTTTATTATGCCTTTTACTATGCCTTACTCCTTCTAGGGATGTCCTGGGAGTGATGGCTATCCAGGACCCAAAGGTGATAAGGTATGATAATAATTAGAATGTTTTTGTAATGAGAAATGGACTAGAGCACTCAATGTGAATCTCTCAGAGTATCTGCACTGTCATGGTGAATGAAGGCAAGCCGAGGTCAAAGTTCACGTGCCTGTGGCCATGACCAGCTGACCCCTTGTGTCCTTCTATGACCTTTGTCACTTCAGTTGACTGCTCTTATATGTTCAGTCTCCAAACAGAAGTCCAAATGCCAACAGGGAAGCTTGCAAAGACATGCTGTCAGTCTGACTTCCTATACTGTGCTCTTCAGGATTCTTCAGCCTCTTTTTCTACTTCTTTCATTTATTGATTTTCCTATTGACTTACATACTAAAGTTTAAAATCATCAATCACCAAAGTTTTCATCAGTTCAGCATTGGAAATTGAACCAATAGTGGTGACATCATTGTAATATTTGCAAACTGAATTGGGATTGGTCTTCTTTCTTGCAATTATTTACATACTAAACTGTGACTAGTCTTTGTCACATCTCTATAAAGAGCCTTTTTACACTATAAACATATTAGATGTGCCAAATGTCATGGCAAAGAGGTTTTGATGCACAATTTTAAAAAGAAGTCTCTTATTTATTGAAAGAAATCTCTTAATTTCATCAAGTCAGCATTTATTTGATCCTTCAGAAATCATTCTAAAATTCTGATTTGATGCTCAATAAACTTATTATCGATGTTGAAAATAGTTTTCACAAAAATATTAACTGTGATACCTGTAAAAAAAATTGCAGAATTATTTGATGAATAGAGAGCTCAAAACAACAGGAAATAGAAATCTTTTGTAACATTACAAATGTCTTGATCATTTTATTGCATCCTGCTCACCCTCAACTTTTGAATGGCGTTGTGTTGTTGCAGTTGATATTTACATCTTGAAACAAAAATGTATTTATAACTTTAGTGGTGAAAGTCATGATAATTTATATAATATTTATCACTTATCTGGTGGTGTCTAAACTGAACAGATCTATTATGTACAGTGCTGTTTTACAACATGCCTGCTTATACAATGCAGATGTGGGATGGAATTTTGTTTTTCATCCTAACAGTTCAGCTTTCATCAGGTTTGAGATTTGTTTAAGATTGTAAACATATGTCAGTGTAAATTTTGTGTGTGTGTGTGATACAGTCTTCCTTGTTGTTGTGATTTTGTTTAGGGTTCCATTGGGCTTAAGGGCCGTCCAGGTCGCCGTGGAGTCCCAGGACCTCCTGGGCCACCTGGGCTGCCCACATTCTACCTGTGGAGAAACACACCTGAGGAATGGGCTGCATTTCAGGTAAGTTTTCTCTTTTTTTCAGTTTCTCCATTCTCCATTCTCCGTCCCTGTCTGTGGGTCTCCCTGTCTACAAAATTAAACTTTATCCCTCATCCCTTTAATGTGGCTGTCAGTGCACTGCTGTATCTTGTGTAATGGCCCAGATGAGCACCACAGCCGTGATTGAATAAAGATGCCCTCAGAGAAAAAGAGAGAGAGAGGAAGGAAGGAATTCTCTGTTGCTGTAATGGGTTATTTGCTTCCTACAGTCTTTGAACCATCCTCCACTGTACATCCAGTAATCTAGCTGAGGGCAAAGACTTTTCTACTCTTAGTTCTGCATGATGTCATAAGTTGTCTCTGTAACTGAAGGGGTGATATCCCCTTTACTCAAACCCAGAGCAAGGTCACCTCAGCACAATCAATCAATCTCACCATCCATGTCAGTTTCCAGCTCCGTATCTCTGAACGCATCTGCTATGATAACCGAAACCTCTGTCGAGCATGGTTTAATTAAAAGCAGCCTGTGACCTCGTAACTCATTTTGGGATATGTGTCCTGTGTGCAGCATGCTGCCTTTGTGAACGCCTTTGTAGTTTACAGGGCAGCTTTTAAGTCTAGAGTCTGGTTGGATGAGAATGGACCATTAAAGCTTTAGTAAGACCAGAATTGTAGGGTTATGGCTTTTGCTTTCATTAAAATGACTCCTCAGAGTAACAGAGAGAAATCTTCAAGAATAGACCAGGAAGGACAGAAACACATATTTTGAATATAGACTAATTGGCGGGTAGTCTGAATGACTAACCAATGAATCAGCACAAGGAAGCTCAGTATAATTAGACCAATTTTGAGTTCTCCTGACCCCGATCAGTAGGGCTGCACAATATTTTTAAACAAAATCATTATAAAGTCATGATATTTCATAATGCAATAGTCAAATCTTGAAGGGTGTGATTAAATAAATAAGTAAATATAAATAAATAAATAAATATTCCGGTGAGCTATAAAAATAAAATCTTTTTACATTTTGAAAATGTAAGATGTAATTAGTATAGTAAAATAAAAGTAGTGCTATTGTTCATTATTTTATAGTCATATTGAATGGGTCAAAAACAATGGGAATGTGGCCTATAAAAACTTGAGTGGAAAAAGATTTTCTTAAAACTCTGTTCACGTTATGGTTAGTAAAAGAGGTTTGAGTTGGTTCTTGCCCAAAAAATTCTTGCATTCAAAAAAGTCTTCAAAGTAAGGTCACTTTTCAGCTTTTTAAAATAATTGTATTTTCTATGCAAATGCACTCCCTTCTAGAATGATTGATTCTTTCCAAATATAGCTATTCAAGTAATCTGGAGCAATTTCCTATTCTTTTTCATATTACAATATATATTGCAGAAAAACTAAATATCAAAATGACATTTTTTCCAATATCGTGCAGCTCTACCAATCAAGACACATTTTTAGGGTATACATAATATAAAACAGATAAATGTGATTTAAGAAGCATTTTAATTGTTTGTAGCTTGAAACAATGTTCTAAAACCCAGCATTTATGGCATATAAGAAACTAAAAAATATCTGTCATCATACATATGGCTGTATCTATGAAAGTCGCGACTTCTCACAAGAGTTGTTATCTGATTGTTTGACAACAAGTTGACCCATCCTTATGATAAATAGAGCAGTTTTGTAGGTTTACCTTGATAAAGTATCAGATAAAGCTTTAATATCAGCTGCGATGCTAATAATGTGATAAACATGGATAGTCATGTGATGCTCAGTTAAATTATTCTATTTTTCTCTCACTCTCTCCTCCAGCAAACTTCGTTCTTCCAGCTTCTCCGTGCAGGTTGGCCTGTAAGTATGCAACACATATTTGTGAAATTTGTTATGTTTCTGAAGATGTAATATCCCTGACTCTGTTCTGTTTTTCGTGAGCTTGTAGAGAGCGCAAGGTCCGCCTGGTCCGGAAGGAGAGATGGGGAAACCTGGGCCGCAGGTGAGGTTTAATAAGATTTTGATGAGGCTGTGTTATGTAGCGCAGTACTTCCTGAGCTCAGATGACAATACCTGCTCTGCTAAATCATGATCTCTCTCACTCTCTCTCTCTTAACCTTCTTTACTAGGGGCCACCTGGGGAGCCAGGTGAACAAGGACGTCCAGGACATATGGGAGACATGGTAATATCCTATGGTGCAACATTGTCATTTTTAGTGATGCTTACTAAGGCAAGCTTCATTTTTATTAGTGGTACTTGCTAAGGCATCACTATTGCTCTTGTAGTACTATTAACCTACTAATTGTGCACCAAAATGTTGTTGTCTTTAATTATAATGTTATCGTATTCGTAATAAGAAAATCTGACAGTCTGTCAAGACAGCTGCAAATAATGTAATTCACAAATAGACCAATATTTGCTTTTTTTATCAGAGCAAGACATCAAGATATCACCTCAAATTAGTGGCAATTAATTTGCTTGGGGGTTTTTTATGTGTGTGAAAGGGAGACCGTTATTAGACACACAATACCACCCATCATTGCTGAGATTTAACCACAGATTATTGTGGTTTGTCAGATTTAATGTGAAAGGTACATCACATTTGTGCCTCTCAAAAGCCTTGCATCAATCACTGCTGAAATGAGCTTCTGTTAGCATTTAATGTATCACTGTGAAGGAGCAGGTAGGTAGGTAGGTAGATAGATAGATAGATAGATAGATAGATAGATAGATAGATAGATAGATAGATAGATAGATAGATAGATAGATTGATAGATTGATAGATTGATTGATTGATTAATATTAACTCATATTAATAAAAAACCCCAACTCAATCCTAGGATTCTTTGGCTGCATTTACGTTGCAACGCCTGATGCACAGATTAGATATTTTAACAAATATGTCCTTCCTGTTTATAATCAGATAACATTGCCAGCTGTGTTTACATTTACAAGATATGTTAGGCTGGCAATAACACTATCTAGAGCTTTTTAGTTAGGTTTTAGTAGTAGTAACATTAACGCCAACAAATGTCATTTTTAGTTAATCCATCTTAAACTCTAATTAACGCATTTTAAATATGCTGTTAATTATCACTGAAAATAATTTGTGCCTCAGTTTGTACAAACAAAATGTACTTATAATGGAAGCCTATCACTTTAAATTACTTTTAAATCCATTTACCTTTAAATGTGTTTAGATGTATGTTGGAAAAGTGTTTTTTTCTTAATTTATGATTTTTGACATTAATTTATAAAAAAAATGTTTGTGTGCTATTCTTGCAGGGTGACCGTGGCCCAAAAGGTGTGATAGGCAGAGCAGGGGTCTTTGGAAAGGATGGAGAAAATGGGCTGGACGGGCCTCAGGGGCCTCTGGGGATTCCAGGACCAAAGGTAAAGTGATTTTACAGTGACACTGACATTTTGAAGGTAGATAAGCAATTCATTTCAGCATCCTGACTTGAAAGTGTTTTATTGTGTCATGTTTTCTGATTATTTTGGTATGTTAACAGTAAATTTTGAAATACAGGGTCCTCTGGGCTATAAAGGAGAACCAGGCTCACCTGGAGAGAAAGGAGAAGAGGTAAGATAGTTATGGTGAAGCTAGTAACCAAAATATTATAGATAAAATCCCATGATGTGCCATGATTTTGTTTAGTTACTTTATTTTTGCCTAAGGACTTACACTGTTTCTGTTGCAGGGTATTGCTGGACCAGAGGGTCCATGTGGAGATATGGGAAAAGGCGGAGAGAAAGTAAGTTATGTTTAAATCAGTAGTCAATAAATGCGGGCAACTCATGTTTACAGTATAGGGTGCATTCTTTGAGATGATGGTATATATTGCCATCTAGTGGTCAGGCAAAGAACTACATTATTAAAAAGGCACTTAATTAAAATTTTTATAATCTACAGTTGCATAATGCTGGGAAAACTGCCTAATAATTGTAAGTGTTTATGAAAATATGTAACCTGTAGTTCACATTTACAGGGTTCAAAAGGAGCACCTGGCTCTCCTGGTACTGTCGGCCCTCCTGTAAGTTACAGCAACATTAATGAACAGAATGAACACAATAAAAATTATTTACTCTTTAATTACATCTGGCGTTGTCGTTTAAATGTACATAGTTTTGTCATTCATAATAACAATCTTGCCTGATTATATTTGAATTCTTTTACAGGGTCCACGAGGAATGAGAGGGATGGAGGGCCCTGAAGGTCATCCAGGGCCAGATGTAAGTGAAAACAAAATAACTAGAATGCTATAAATGCTCAACATTTGTTTATCAAATAAACTATCAAATAATAGTTGCGCATTAAAGTCCACATGAACCGGTAGTTAGTACCTACTTTACTTCAGTTTTGTGACGTATTTCCAACTGAAATGGAATATTGAATGTAGGGGGGGGGGATTTTAGCACACCTCCATCTCTTGCTCACAGCAAACTAATGGTTGGAGGGGAGTGCCAAAGGCATCAAAACTGACGTCATCAGAGAAGAAATGCCATTCCAGAGCGGAAGCTAATGTTCAGATTTTGATTAAAGATTATCAAGACAAACTATTTTTTTCAGGGGATTAACTTGCATGGATTAATAATTCACCTCAAGAACAACAATGTGCGCTAACAAAATAAATAGTGTCAATTTTGATTTCATGCGGACTTTAAAGACATCAATTTATATGTATCTGTTAATGGTAATGTTTACAGGGGGATGATGGGATGGAGGGACCACCAGGTCTTCCAGGTCCACCAGTAAGTAATACAGAACATCAGAAATTGATATGATCAGTAGATATCAACAAAAGGGGCTGATCAGGTAAAACTAGTATTCACATCACAGTATACTGTATGCTTCCTTTTTAAAATAAATGGTTTCCTTGGTATTATACTGTAGTTTTCTTACTTATACAAATTCAAATGTTTGGAGTCGGTAAGATTTTTTTGTTACTTTTATACTGTTTTCTATTTTAATATATACTAAAATGTAATTTATTCCTGTGATGGCAAAGCTGAATTTTCAGCATCATTACTCCAGTGTTCGGTGTAACATGATCCTTCAGAAATCATTCTAATATGTTGATTTGAGGCTCAAGAATCATTCCTCTTATTATCACTGTTGAAAACAGTTGTGCTGCTTAATATTTGTATTGAAAATGTGTTACATATTTTTTTAAGGATTGAACAATTTAATGCATCTTTCCGAACCCCAAATTTCTAAATGGTAGTGTATGATTTGTGCATTAAATTAGATCTCAGCTTATTTAAATATTTGCAGGGAGCTCCTGGTTGGACAGGTGTGGTTGGTGCCCAGGGGCCTAATGGCTCTCGTGTAAGGTTTTTTCCTCATATTTGTTCCACTCTGTTTGTCAGTTTGTAGTATTTTGTTACATACTAATAATTTCAGTTTTATTTTCTAGGGGGAGCCTGGGCCTCCAGGACCTGTTGGCCTTCTGGGACCACGGGTATGGTATTTATTATTTGGGACATCGTAAAGTTACTGATAAATTATCTCTACATAACCTACAGTATATGTCATTATTAGGGACCCCAGGGATTAGAGGGACAGATTGGACCGCCAGGACCAAGGGGCCTGCAGGTGAATGTTTGTTCCACTATAATGAATCTAACTGATTGAATAAAGAGATGGTAGTCAGGGATTGGATCATTTGAGGTTATGTTATTTCACATAGATATCCGCATACTAATATATGTATACTAACTAGCCCATGACAGACTCTGTGAAGCAATTTACTACTTGATCACGATCGATATTATTGTATTCATATGCTTTTCCACTAGGGACTGTCAGGTCGGGAAGGTTTACCTGGTCCCAAAGGAGAACCTGTAAGCACTCTTTTCTCACAGAGTGAAGAATCTATCTTTAAATTGCTTTGATCTTCTTACTCATTAAAATTAAGACTTCATGCTGTTCAGTATCACAAGATATTTAATATGAACACATACTCTAGTGTTCAAAAGTTTGTGGTCAGTAAGATTTTTAAAATGTTTTTTAAATAAGTCTCTTAAGCTGCATATGTAAAAAAACTAATATTGTGAAATATTATTACAATTACTACTGTTTTCTATTTTCTATTTAATTAATTTCTGATGTCAAAGTTGAATTTTTAGTATCCATTTCTACAGCATTCAACTGAAAACAGTTGTGCTGTTTAATATTTTTGTGGAAACAATTATACATTATTTATTTCCAGATTCTTTGATGTATATGTTTTTTAAAGCATTTATTTAAGGAAAAAACTTACATTATAACAACATTATGTAACATTATAATTGTTTTACTCTTTTGATCAATTTAATGCATCCTTGCTGAATAAAATCATTAATTAAAAAAAAACTTACTGACCCCAAACTTCTAAATGATAATATACCTTCTTATCCCTGTTCATTTCCAGGGACCTGCAGGGCCAGTGGGCCTCAGAGGGGAGCCAGGAATTGATGGATTAATGGTAAAAGCCAAATTCAGTCTAAAGAGTTTTTTTTCCTAATGAGAAAGCTCAACTGTAGTTCATACCACATAGCAAAAAACAAATCCCAAGGTTTTTTTTTTTTTTTTTTTTTAACTTCAACTTGGAATTTCAAATTTAACCAATGTAATTTCCTATTTCTCATATGTACTGGTTAATTAGTTTGTTTTTTCTTCATTTTTCTTTAGGGTGTATTACTTCAGCTCTCTTAACGGAATAGCCCACCTTCCAATTGTTTAAAAGTCTATATTGTTTTTATAAAGTCATTAATGTAGTATTTAGCTACTAGGCTGAAACAAGGCTAGGCTGTTTATTTAGCCATCAATGCTAAGCTTTCTCAAGCACCTCTAACAGACTTTATTTAGCATTAATGAGCCGTTTTTGGCAGTGAAAGGAGCTCTATAATGCAGGATTCATGAATCCAGCAGACTGAGCTCCCGGTGCAGAGCAAATAAAAAATGATGATCACATTTTATAGAGGATGGGCTATGCCTTTTATGAATCATAAAGAGGTTATACAAACAAAGACAGCCTTTCCAGGAATTTAGTGGGCACCAGTGTTTTTGCGCAGCTTGTCAAAGTTTAATTTGCACCCTACCAGCCATAAATGACTAGTAAAATGCAGTAGGTGAGAAGAGTAATGGTAAGTGGTGGCAGCAGAAAACACTGGTTCACACATGAACACACAGGCTTTTAAGGTCTTGGTTGGTTTCTCAAACCTCAGGGATTGCAAGGGATTCCTGGAGAACGTGGTCAGGACGGACCCCCTGGATCTATGGTGAGTTTTCTTCTCTATTCATGTGGTCAACACACATCTTTATAATCACTTCAAAGTTTATTTCCCCTGCTTGCAAGGTAGACACCCTCCTGACCCCCGTGCTGAAATTACTTATTGGACTTGCCGGGGGGTTTTTTACCTACAGTACCTACATTTAGAAAACAAAAATAAACTGAATCCATATTACATTATATTTCATCATATTGACATTTTTGCACTGTGCATCCAAATCAGGGCATATACTGTTAAATTTTCATAATTTATTCATTGAAAAGCACATATTTTGTGCCAAAGCTGCCAAATATAAGCCAAAGCTTTTCAATATCCGGCTGAAAAATGATTGTTCTTGAGCTGAGGGTGTTGAATTTGTGTGTACGTCTTCTCTATTTTTAAATTTTATTTATTTATTTATTTACCTCTCGGACTGGAAGGGCCACAGGTTAGATTGGCATGGAGCTGCAAAAATATTTGGTCTTGGTTCAGTACAGCATAACAAACTAAAGCAACTAGAGCAACTAGCCATGCATTACAGAGATTTTACCATGGTTATGTGATATTTTAATGAACCAGAATAAAATTACTATTACGTACACCATTGTTATAGAGAAGAAATTTAAGAAATTGGTGGCAACAGAGATGTGATGAAAGCTCTCTGACTTCTGCAGGGTCCATCTGGTCCGTCAGGTTTGGAGGGACCTCCTGGAAGGAAAGGTGATAAGGTATGGTAAAACAATTATAAAATTATATTTGCTTGACACAGTAACATTTATACAGGATTTTTTACCGTTAACATTTTTTTTTATTAATATAATGTCATTTTTGTACTGGCAGGGGGACAGAGGTCCCTTTGGAAAACCTGGTCTTCAAGGACCAAAAGGAGACATTGGCCCTCCAGGTGCTAAAGGTCCAATGGGTCCACCAGGCCCAGCAGGCAGTGAGGTGTGGAGATCAGTTTCTTAATGTCGGCTCAACTGTGCAATTTAAAAGTCATATGTCTCAAATGCAATAAGTCTCACTGTCACTGTAAGAGCAATATTGGTGTATTTCTTCTAATGAAGGGCGATGCTGGTCCAGTTGGAGTTGCTGGTGATCCCGGCCCTAAAGGAGAAAAGGTAATTTATCTTTTACAGCTTGTGTCATTTCACTGGGGAAAATGCTATTGTACTATATTTAATTTTTTCCCTCAGGGTGATATAGGCCTGCGAGGATTTACTGGTTTAGAGGGACCATGGGGAGAAGTGGGGGAGCAGGGAGAGAGGGGGCTCAAGGGAGACAAGGGGCAAATCGGACTGCAGGTAAGTGCAAATCAGCATTTCACTATGTATTTTTTTTATGTAACATTTTATTTAGCCTGATATGTTTTTATCAATTGATATGCACTACTGTTCAAAGGTTTGAGTTCAGAAACAATGCGTTAAGTTTATCAAAAGTGATAAAGTGGTAAAAATGTAAAGACATTTTATAATGTTACAAAAGTTTTTATTTAAAATAAATGCTATTTGTCAATGAATCCTGAAAATGTATCACGGTTTCCACAAAAATATTAAGCAGCACAACTGTTTTTAACATATTACTGTTTTGGTGTATATTTGATAACGTAAATTCAGCCTTGGTGAGCATAAGAGACTTAAGAGCATAAAAGAAAGATCTTACCAACCCCGAAGATTTAAATGGTAATATAGGTATCTAATTTAAACACTAAAATACATAGTATCTTGTCAGTACTTGTTTAAGTCAGCTTTGTTGCATTTGTTTGTGATTGTCTGTGAACATTGGCTGTTTTTATGTTAGGGTGAGTCAGGCCTCATGGGTGGTGTTGGACCTCCTGGCCTAAAAGGTGTAGAAGTGAGTGTTGACCTGAGAATGAATGACCCCTGTATTCATGCGTAATATGGCCGCATAGTTGAAGTTACTAATAAACAGTTCCTGTTTTCTTGTGTTTCAGGGTGGACCAGGCCATCCAGGATTGGTGGGGCCAGATGGACCTCCAGGAAGCAAGGTAGCATGTTTGATTGTTCACTTAGAGCATCTTTGGATTATTTATATTTATGGTCTAAAATTAAGCTTCTCCTTTAGGGGGAGGTTGGGCCGAGTGGTTTTCCTGGTGAGCCAGGAGATGCTGGACCTGAGGTTCTGATCCACTTGAAAACATATTACTGTATATGTGCATAACATGTAACATCTTTTTTTATATTGGATTGAAAATCTTTGGATGTCAAAAGAATTGCTGAATTGTTGTGTTATTGTTGTTCTCAATATTCATATCTGTGCTTCAGGGAATTGCAGGTCGCAAAGGCGTGCGAGGTGATGCAGGAAAAGCCGGGACACAGGTAAAGATAATTTCTTTGCATTCATATTCCTCCCCCAGATAATCTGTTCTAATAGTTTATTCTTATGGGATCTCTTGGGAAACAACAAATTCATTTTTATCTCAAGAGTAACTCATTAATTTTCTTATCTTGGTCCACAGTTAGGTGTTGGCTCAGTAGGCCCCCAAGGTCTTTTTGGCCCTAAAGGTCTCCCAGGGCCTGAAGGGGAGAAAGGAAATTCAGGAGATAAAGGAGAACTAGGGGTGGAGGTGAGTTTGTAATGAACTCCACTAAGATGGAAACTCTTGATTGCTTCCTTAAATTGCCTGTAAATCCACTACATGTTCAAATTGAAGGCATTTCTTTTCTTTAGGGGCCAGACGGCCTTCAAGGCATTCAAGGACCACCGGGACTGCCTGGTTTAGAGGTACAGACCATTAAAACCCAGAATATTGCATTTGTTCAAGAAGATGGTGTGGCGTTTTGGGCTTGTCTGTGTATATAAATATAGTACAAGTGATTGAATAACCCAATTATATCAATTCAAATCTACTCTGTTAGGGTCTACAAGGTGAGGCAGGGGTACATGGCTCACCAGGTCTGCCAGGAGCTCAGGTCAGTGCCCAGTGAGATAAAATATTTACAGCAAAGCACAACAAATAGATGTACCTTGTCTTAATTCTACTTTTGTTTCAACTCTGCTGAATCATCAGGGCCCTTAATGAGTTTTGATTGTTGCAGGGCCGCATGGGTAACCCAGGACCTGAAGGAAGAGAAGGCATGAAAGGAGAGAAGGTAAGGTCACCATGTTCTTTTTTCTGTCTTAATCCTTGTCTGCTATCTAAAATAAAAGTTCTTCCTCTATGCCTTTGTCCTTGCTGTCAGATATGAGAACTGTGTTTGAGAATACAGATTTTCTAGGACTCTTATCTGAAGTTTCATTTTAAATTTGAATTTGCTTCTTGATGCATTTTTAGGGAGATCAAGGCAAGGATGGAGCACCTGGAAAAATGGGTCACATTGGACGGAGGGTAAGATGAGATATGCCCTTTTAGTACCCTCTTTGACTATTAAATGTTTCCAAATCTCTAAGTTAACATCAAAGAAGTTTAGCGACAATATTGTGTCATGAAAGCTTATTTTAGACTCATGCATGTCATAATTCCGGACAAACATTTGGAAGATGGTGGTGATTATGATTGATAAATTGATTTTTTTTGTTGGTGGTTTATACCTAAAGGGTAAAAGAGGCAAGGCAGGGTTGAGGGGGACCAGAGGACCAAGAGGAGAAAAGGTCAGAGTTCAGAGATGAGGTCAACGATGACAACATGGCATTTAAATACATGATGAGTTTAATTTTTTAATTTCATGGCTTGAATTGAACATACAGTATTATGGATTACCTTATTGGCTTCTCCTTGTCCAATAGGGAGAGAGGGGAGATGTAGGAGAGAAAGGACTTCCTGGATGGGGAGGAAGTATGGTAAGCTTGATACGCTTGATATGCCTGGTCAGAACAATAAATATCAAAGTAATCACATATTTTGAATTAAATAACATTGTGGGAATTTATAAAATGGTAAACTATTAACACAGTTTGAAATCATAATCATGCATTGATTAAACCTTTGTTCTATGCTTGACAGGGAATCCAAGGGCTGAGAGGAGAGCCTGGGGAGCAAGGTGTCAAAGGAGCAGAGGTGCTTTTAAAGTTTTACTCAGACAGGATTCCTTTTATGCAGATACCTAAGAAATACAGTATTAATATTGATACCTTAACTTGTCCATAACAGGGTGAGAAAGGAGATCAAGGACCACTTGGTCCACCAGGGAAAGATGGCTTGAAGGTATAATGTATATCAAGCACATCCTATGAGTCTGCAGTGTAGCCTATTCAGTTCTCTTAGACGAGTATTTATTTGTTCTTTTTAGGGGAGTATGGGGCCTCTTGGTCCTCCTGGACCACCAGGATCAAAGGGGGATCAGGTAAGGTCAAAATATCTAATTGAACAGATATTCTTTTGCTTATTGCCTTCACCATAGATATTGTAAGATGATGCTTATGATAATAATAATAATAATAATAATAATAAACAAATATGAAAAATCATTCTTTTTCTGTTTTATATTGACTGTTTTATATATATTGTACATATACGTATATATATATTTTGCAGCACTGTCAATATTGATGAATCTTTATGATTAATCTTCTTTTCCTTCACTTGCTCTGGTTAAAATCATCTTATGAATAATTAAATATAAAATGTGTGTACTTTTCCTTAAGGGAAATATTGGTCCTGCTGGGCCTAGAGGGGCACCTGGAATACCTGGACTACCGGTGAATATGTCTTTTTTTTAAGGTTTCAGCATTTAAACTAATAGCAAGCTGTACCTATTACACCGTAGCCCAATTTGTGTTAACACATCTGCTGCAGATGCATTTACATGTGCTCTGTCTTTTCAAGATATGAAACCATTGTTAATTCATTGTTAATGACAAAAGCAAGGACAGTGGAGTGCCTTATCGCAACCACAGCCTGTTTTTGTCTTTTTTTTAAGGTTTCAGCATTTAAACTAATAGCAAGCTGTACCTATTACACCGTAGCCCAATTTGTGTTAACACATCTGCTGCAGATGCATTTACATGTGCTCTGTCTTTTCAAGATATGAAACCATTGTTAATGACAAAAGCAAGGACAGTGGAGTGCCTTATCGCAACCACAGCCTGTTTTTTTTGTTTTTTTTGGAAAGAGCATGAAGATCATTTATAATTTCTTTCTCTTTTATCTCTTCCACCCTGCAGGGCTTGTTTGGAGACAAGGTATGAAATTTAATTTTCAAAGCTTTCTTTAGTTAGGTTAAAAGGAAATGTTGCAGCTCAATCAAAATAAAAATACATAAAATCATTTTATATTCACAGTAACATAAATTAAGATTAGTTATTAAATATCTCGTTTTCACTTTAATCCTAGGGACCTAAGGGATTTCAGGGGAATCCTGGACCTCCTGGAAGGAGGGGCTTGGCAGTAAGTTGGCACCTTTAAATTTTTTTGTAACAATATGACAACTAATTTCTTTCTTTATTAATTTCATTTCTTATTTTAGGGTCCACCGGGACCTCCAGGGCCTGCTGGCGTTTCTGTGAACCTGACCCTGACCCAGATCAAGGCAAGTTTTTTTTTTTCTTCTTAGTGGCCCTTTTACTCTGATTTGCTGTGCTGATCATTAAATACCAAACATCCCATGATTATGGTCACACTGAATAAATTTGAATGGAGTCAACATTTTGTGCATTGATATCATGGCAGAACTAAAATATGTGCTATTCAGCAACCTGCAGTGGCAGAGCATCACCAAATCTAACTTTCTTATTCTTGGACCCTCACTAAAATGTAGATCACAAAAAAGCAAATCAATTTGTACTACGTTTTATTCTCCAATAGGACTTGATGTAGGAGCAGAGGTGCTTTTAAAGTTTTACTCAGACAGGATTCCTTTTATGCAGATACCTAAGAAATACAGTATTAATATTGATACCTTAACTTGTCCATAACAGGGTGAGAAAGGAGATCAAGGACCACTTGGTCCACCAGGGAAAGATGGCTTGAAGGTATAATGTATATCAAGCACATCCTATGAGTCTGCAGTGTAGCCTATTCAGTTCTCTTAGACGAGTATTTATTTGTTCTTTTTAGGGGAGTATGGGGCCTCTTGGTCCTCCTGGACCACCAGGATCAAAGGGGGATCAGGTAAGGTCAAAATATCTAATTGAACAGATATTCTTTTGCTTATTGCCTTCACCATAGATATTGTAAGATGATGCTTATGATAATAATAATAATAATAATAATAATAATAATAATAATAATAATAATAATAATAATAATAATAATAATAATAATAATAATAATAATAATAATAATAATAATAATAATAATAATAATAATAATAATAATAATAATAATAATAATAATAATAATAAACAAATATGAAAAATCATTCTTTTTCTGTTTTATATTGACTGTTTTATATATATTGTACATATACGTATATATATATTTTGCAGCACTGTCAATATTGATGAATCTTTATGATTAATCTTCTTTTCCTTCACTTGCTCTGGTTAAAATCATCTTATGAATAATTAAATATAAAATGTGTGTACTTTTCCTTAAGGGAAATATTGGTCCTGCTGGGCCTAGAGGGGCACCTGGAATACCTGGACTACCGGTGAATATGTCTTTTTTTTAAGGTTTCAGCATTTAAACTAATAGCAAGCTGTACCTATTACACCGTAGCCCAATTTGTGTTAACACATCTGCTGCAGATGCATTTACATGTGCTCTGTCTTTTCAAGATATGAAACCATTGTTAATTCATTGTTAATGACAAAAGCAAGGACAGTGGAGTGCCTTATCGCAACCACAGCCTGTTTTTTTTGTTTTTTTTGGAAAGAGCATGAAGATCATTTATAATTTCTTTCTCTTTTATCTCTTCCACCCTGCAGGGCTTGTTTGGAGACAAGGTATGAAATTTAATTTTCAAAGCTTTCTTTAGTCAGGTTAAAAGGAAATGTTGCAGCTCAATCAAAATAAAAATACATAAAATCATTTTATATTCACAGTAACATAAATTAAGATTAGTTATTAAATATCTCGTTTTCACTTTAATCCTAGGGACCTAAGGGATTTCAGGGGAATCCTGGACCTCCTGGAAGGAGGGGCTTGGCAGTAAGTTGGCACCTTTAAATTTTTTTGTAACAATATGACAACTAATTTCTTTCTTTATTAATTTAATTTCTTATTTTAGGGTCCACCGGGACCTCCAGGGCCTGCTGGCGTTTCTGTGAACCTGACCCTGACCCAGATCAAGGCAAGTTTTTTTTCTTCTTAGTGGCCCTTTTACTCTGATTTGCTGTGCTGATCATTAAATACCAAACATCCCATGATTATGGTCACACTGAATAAATTTGAATGGAGTCAACATTTTGTGCATTGATATCATGGCAGAACTAAAATATGTGCTATTCAGCAACCTGCAGTGGCAGAGCATCACCAAATCTAACTTTCTTATTCTTGGACCCTCACTAAAATGTAGATCACAAAAAAGCAAATCAATTTGTACTACGTTTTATTCTCCAATAGGACCTGATGTACAGTTCAGACAAACCCAATTACCCTCTGATTCAGACACTGTTGGACTCTCTGTACCATGACCTCCGGCTGCTGGTGGACCCTCCGGATGGCAGCAAGCAGCACCCAGCATCTACCTGTCTGGAGCTGTGGCTGTGCCATCCCAACTACACCAGCGGTCAGAGTCCTATCTTTCAACTTTTCTATTTTTCAAAGTCATTTATCTGTTTGTTTTTGTTTCCCTTTGTGCTATCATTGAGAAATCTTTGCATTATGGTTATTTTTTTCTCTAAAAAGGTGATTGTGCTTATGGAGTTTTAAAAGCTTTTGAAACACATACACTTCGTTACATTGACACCATTTAAACCTGGTATTAAAATCTGTCTCAGGCCATAAAATCTAAGGTGAACAGCACTAAGGTGTAAATTAGATTTTTTATTATTATTATTTTAATTTTTTTGCATTTCCAAAGGATAGTTAAAGAGATAGTTCACCTTCAGTCAATTGGGGCCAGCAACTGAAGGTGAACTATCCCTTTAATACAGCTGCTTGACTAAAATAACTAAAGAAGTGTGCGTGTGTGTGTGCACTATTAAATATATTTGAACTGTATGTTGTTTTGGATAAAATAATCTGTTAAATAATGACTTTTGTAACTTTTGCAGGATTCTACTACATTGACCCAAACCAAGGCAGTCCTTTAGATGCTCTTTTGGCCTACTGTAACTTCTCAGAGTCAGGAGCAGAGACCTGCCTTCACCCCAGAGATGCACACGTAATGTTCTAGTTAATACCTCAGAGGTGGACAGTAGTGAAGTATTTTTACTCTGCTTTAAAAGTACTTTTCAAGTGTCTGTACTTTATCAGTACAGTGTTTTTCTTTAGAAAACTTTACTTCACAATATTCCAAAGAATAATATTGTACTTATATTAATATTGTAAAATCTTATTATCGCTCTTCCAATTTCCGTAGCTTCCCATAAGCACTTGGCTGAATGACTCAGGGAATAACAGCAAGTTCTACTGGTTAAGTTCACTGGAGGGAGGTTTTAAAGTAAGTAGTACTATTTGTTTGTGGAAATTTTTACTTCCTATTGGATCAAAGTTTGTGCTATTGACAAGAGATAGCCCATCTCTTGACTCTGGGATAGTTGACCTCAAATTAAAAAATTCACAGGATTTGTAGATTTTGGCTACGTTCACACTGCGAGCTTTAGTCCTAAATTCCAATTTTTGCTCAGATCCGATTTTTTTGTATAGCTGTTCACATTGTTGTTTTAAATGTGGCCAATATCAGATTTCCAGTGTGAACAGATCATGGTTCTGAACTGGTCCATATGCGCAAATGAACAATACGAACAGGGTTGCCAGGTTTTCACAACAAAATCTGCTCAATTGCTTCTCAAAACTAGTCCAATCATGTTCTGGGGGTTATATTTCGTGTTAGTGGGGTCGCTTTAACCCATGGAGTTGAAAAACAACCCCTGCAACAGTGAAAAAGTTGCCCAATTCTGTGGGAAAACTGGACTTGGCAACACTTGCGCATTGCGCTGCCATACGAAAGTAAACACAGAGGACATAAAGTAAGCGATTGTGCATTTATTTATAGTGTGATCTGCCGCAGAAGCCAGCGAAATTATGCACAGGCAATATGAAAAGGCAATAAAGACAAGGATGTGACCGAAAAAAGCAGAGTTTTGAAACTTTTATGATACGAGCTCTTATGTTCTGACTCATCTCTGTACTTCCACTGACTACCTTTCGCAACTGTCTTGATAGCTTTGGGTTTGTAAAATCTATGAAGTGACTCCCATGAGCGCAGAATTGTGATGAATGGTGATGGTAGAAGTCACATGAATTCCGATATGACTGTTCACACTGCGGCCGCATTGCAAAACATCTAACCTGTATCGGATTTAGTATCACATATGGAAGTGACACAAATCGGAATTGAAAAGATCAGATTACATGTGGTTTGTGCTATTCACACTGTCATAAGAAAAACAGATCTGAGTCACATGTGAGCAAAAAAAATGGGATTTGGATTTATAAACTGATGTATACACTTTAGAAGTTGATTGTTTACTTTTGTGGTTCTTTTTTGTGTTTTTTGGACATCAACAGCGCCATTTACTAGCCATTTTCTAGCTAAATACTAGCTATTTTGTTGTATAGAAAACAAACAAACAAACAAAATGATAATGGAATTTTTTACATTTTGCTGAACTGTCCCTTTAATGCTTTAACATCTTTAATTGATTGTCCAGGTTAATTGCTGCTAATAATGCACTCTAAAAAAGGCTGGGTTAAATATAACCCAGCGCTGGGATAAAAAGGGACAAACCCTGCTATTGGGTTGTTTTGACCCAGCGGTTGGGATGTTTTGAACCCAACCACTGGGTCAAAACAACCCAATAGCTGGGTTAAAACAACCCAATAGCTGGATTTGTCCCTTTTTAACCCAGCCCTGGGTTATATTTAACCCAGAATTTTTTAGAGTGTGTTGTTCTTATTATAAAAGTCTTGCTCTTCATTGTTTTATGTTCCGTTTCAAGCCCTGATGTTGCACACAGTAAACTGTCCGTCCTTCAATATTGCCATCAAAACCCATCTGTCTGTCTTTGGTCAGTTTGAGTATCCAGCCCTCAGTGTGGTTCAGCTGCGGTTTCTACGGCTCCAGAGCAACAGAGCAGAACAGAGAGTAACGTACTCCTGTTACCCTGGACACCGACTGGGCCAGACACAGCGACAGGTCCAGTTCCTCACAGACGCCATAAAGCAGAGCTATTTAGGAGAACTGCAGGATTGTGTGGTATGTGGATTCTAACAGCACTAGTAATAAAAATGTGTAATTTTTATCACATTTTTGAAGGTGAATCGTTTTTATATGGTTCATTCATTGCTGTGGTGAGCACATTTATTTTGATATACACTACTGTTCAAAAGCTTGGGGTCAGTTGAAAGAAGTTTTGGTCACCAAGGCTGCACTTATTTGATCAAAAATACAGTAAAAACAGTAATATTGTGAAATAGTATTACAATTAAAAAATAGCTGTTTTCTATTTGAATTTATTTTAAAAATGTAATTTATTCCTGTGATGGCAAAGCTGAATTTACTGCTCAAAAACATTAGCAATGTTTCAAACAATTGTGCTTTACCTTTAACAATAATTTTAAAACCATTTCTGTTTGTATTTGTTGAACCAGTCTGCAAAGGAAGTGGATCCCGGACCGCGTGAGTCCATGTTTCAGTTTGAAGACATGGACCTGCTTCCTTTACGTGATATAGGAATGTTGGGCAACAGCAGCCACGAGTTTGGCTTCACCATCGGCCCTGTGTGCTTCAGCTAGAGACACCCTGAATGATAACGCTACATCCTGTGCATTTAACCTTAAATACAAACACCAAAAAGAAGAAAACAGGACACTCTGAAGACACATGCAGCATCTACAGCTCGTGGTAAGGAAATACGCTAAACAGAGTCCTGTCTATCCCTGTGCTTCCAGACAAATGGCCAATATCCTTTTTTGTTTACAGGGACTTTTGGCTTTGTAATTAATGTACTATTTTTATAATAATTGTATTTGTTTTAGCAATGTTTTTTAATCACTAGCTGGACTTGTAATAACATTGTAGAAGAAGCTTGGATCGTATCAAGTGTAATGACAGGGTTCTGACGTGACCACTATGTGGTTGCATGGTTTAAGTTTCAGCTGTTTACTATTTAATCGTGTACAAATGGTTATCATGGATTAACTGGTTATTATGCGTTATTTAGGTGAGTGTATGAATGACACTTTTTCCCCTCTCTTTTAAGTGTCTAACTTGAATTGTAGGACTGATAGAAACAAAGCGTCCCAGTGAGGACACAGCTAACCTTCCCATGAGGTTTGGATATCAGGAAGTCTGTGCTACCTTTCTGTTTTCTCTGTTCATGTCATGATTTGGTTTCAGAAATGGTCATGTTACCTAAATATGTATGTTAGATGATTTATGGGTGCTAATATTTACAATTCATAGTAAAAGTTGTTTCAAAAAGAGAAGAATAATACAAACTGCAGCAAAGCTGGTTAATAAATGTGCAAGCAGTGATCTGCATTATGGATATGAGACTGAAAGTCAGTACACATGCATAAAGTCATAGAGACAAGTGTCCTTCAGTTCACATTTACTGTATGTAGGTCTCAGGGAGCACTTACAAATATGACATAAATATAAAAAAATACACAAATGATATAGGTAAAATAGGTTAATATGTTAAGATTAATCAAACAAAGCCAAATACAAGTGTCGTTCATCATTATCATTTTAAATCACATTGAATTTAGGCACAGGTGCTTTGTTTTGGAAAACTTTTTGTTCTAAAACATTTTGTACTGTATATTGTGTTTTCTATGTATTTGTGGTGACATCGAAATCACATGCTGGTCATCTGTTTGAGCATCAGCTATAAAAAGTGCATGATGTATCATTTCAGTCGTGTTGGACAATTTTGTATCATTGTGTGAAACACGAACATTTCTTAAAAACTGCTTTGTGGAGTTGTGTTTTTCATGTTCAAACAGCAAAACATGCTAATGAGCGAAACTGCAACCCAGGTGTATCTCAGAAGTATCCATGAGCAGGTACAATTCACTAGAATAGAAGTGCCACCCTTTGCCTGTATTTGTTTTCTGAATGCAGTCATTCGTGTCCTGTAGTCTGTGTGGAATGGGACGAAGTGGGAAATCTACTGTACACTGCATACCTAAGCCTGCCATGAAAGATTTCAA